TGGAGAAACATACAACGATGTTTTGCTGTTTACAGTAGGTTCCACGGAGGTCGTCTGGTATTCTAACCTGCTAAAACCAGTTTGGTGTTCGCTAAGGGCCTTGAAAAATGCGTTTTGGTGGCAATTTACCCCTCATTCTGAACGGACTGGGTGGTTTTTGTTTAGTTGCAACAGCATAACCCGAAAGACAGTGGGCCCTGTACCCTGGTGGTAAGATTTTAATACATTGGGTGTGGCTTCTGTGTTGGTACATCAGTCTGGGCATTACTCTATAAAAGTGTGCGGACCGTTTCTTTTGGCGCAATTATCTGTCTGGCAATGCGCCATTCTGCCATAGATTCACAAATTTGTAAAGCACTGCATAGCTCATTTTACACACTGCAAAACTGACCACTTGCATGCAAAATTTCAAATTCTTTTATGCAGTAGTTGCCGTCATATGGATACTTTTTTGACAGAACAATGCTTTGCCAAAGCCAAGCTTTGACCTGCCCAAAGGAGCACTACCCAATTAAATCACTGCATATTACATAATGCAGCAGCGCAACAAACCTGGTATTCAGTTAATTGGTAGCGACACATCTGACTACACACTTCTCCATTCACATATCTCATATGAGATCGGGGTTTTTGAAAAAAGAACGCATTTTCACATAGGCTTACCTTCGAAACTGAAATATTGCATATTAAATGTCAAGTCCGCATTAATATTGGGAATTCAGCTGCCCTGGCGGAGGTAGGCCTAAAGCTGCCCTTTCCGAGTATTTTTCTACTTGAGTATTGGTTCTATTTACTCACAACTACTGTTATCTTTTCATTCTATAGTAATACAATGAACAATAGATCAACGAATTTCCAGAACCAATACATGTACTTCAACTCGACTGTGCACGCTTTACGCACTACTCCCTTGCGATCAATACGCAATCCCATTTTGTAGTTTAGCGTATCAGCGAGGGTAATCAGTTGTTACCTGAGCTGGTGATAACATGATGATGTGATTACACCATTGTTGGTAGCTACCCAGCAGAGGGAAATAACAGGAGACACGGCATGCCGGCTCTTAACGATTTTAAATCAAGCCGTAATTTGGTTTTAATGTAAACGAATTGAAAAGTAACATACACTAGTATAAGAATCCTGTGTTTTTGCATACGGGAGTCAGGGTTCTTCAAAGGTGAAATGAGCCGGTGTGGGTGGCGTTTAATGAAAAACTGTTATGAGTAATCAATTTTTGGGGGAAATTAAAAGTCATCACTTGAGAACTTTGAATCTATAAGACACAGAGCTTTTTTTTAATATGAACAATCAGATTGAGCAAGCAGTTATCAGGCGGAAATATTGATTTCAATCAGTACGTAGTTCTTAATCGTTGGTAAAATGCAATGTCGATTTTAGGTAGGTGGGTATTCAGTTCCGACAGTTTAAGTCCAAAAATTTGTTCTGAAACAGGGTTTTGTACTTAAGAAACAGGGTTCTATACTTATCTTCACTTATATAAATACAAGCCGATATAAACAAGCTCCGACTGAGATTATCGATTTCTCTTTATCGCCAGATTTGAGATGCCGATATAGTTATTTCTGACTGTGCTTGCGGGAATTTGATAAAAACCCTGAACTAATACAGTTCATGTCTAGATAGAATTGCTGCACAGATTTGAGATCTGAGAAGAAAGCGATTATTTTTGGTTTTGTAGTAAAAGCAATACCGGCATTCTTATAGGTTTTTCGATTTCATTTCTATTTGTGAGGTCCGTGACGCAGGCTGTTTGCATGTCTGCAATAACGAGAATGGCTCCACTTACCAGTTATTGTGCATGTAAGGGCAAAATGTCATGCCGGTGTGAATGTCCCATTGGAAACACCGCCCCTGCGCTGACTATAATATTCTGCCAAAGTTCCTGCCTTTGCAGATAGAAGTACCTTTCCACCGAATACTTTGTCCTGTTTTTCAAAGTTAAATAGACTAAACCTAATCCATGCCCACTGGACTTAGGTGGCCGGAACGTTAGTCGACCTGTCGATACATGTAGCAATTTTAGCCCGTTCTGCCCGTCCTAGCCCGTTCTTCATACACGTACCTGTAGCGCGCTTTAATGGCGTACAATTATCAAATATGGTTGTTTGCCCCACAGAGAGTGATGATCAGTATAAAAAGTAGACTTTTATAGGTGGGGGTTCCTAGCGGACTTCCCTTCCTGTCACACCAGGCCGCGGCCGAGCAATACAATTTAATATTAAAGTATTATGTCAGTATTATATCTTTAGTTTCACAGAGAATATTCTTTTCAGAGGGCAAGTTGGTCGCCACACTATACGACGCCAAATACATCGAGACCTCAGCCGTCCTAAGCTACCATGTCGACGAGCTGCTAGTCGGCATCCTCCACCAAATAAAATCGAGGAAGTCTCCGTTCAAGGCTCCGTCTCAAGGCATGGTGCGACGCAATAGTGCCAAAAGAATTCTGAAACGTCTGATGAGTTTCCATCACGGTACCACGACACCGGATTTAGTGTGCAACGATTGATGCTTAAAGAGCACGTAAAACAAGAACGGTTGTGAGAATATTATTATTTTTTATTATTAACAGATTTTTAAATTTATTTTGACATCATCACATGCTGAAAGACATAGAGACCATTTCCACAGATATTTAGATCGATCTATCTCCCTGGGGAGTCTCACTAGATTGCTGTCAGTTTGTCCCGCCTACTAAAAGCTGAAAGGGGGTAATTAACTGTTGTGTGCGCTCGACTCCCGGAAGCTGACAGCAATCTAGCCTGAACCCCCAGGGAGTTAGGTCGATCCAGATGTCTCGATCTAAATCTGTGGGAACCCAGTCATAAACTGTGAGCATGCACATATGAGTGTACGCTGCCGGTAGAAAGGATTGTCCCAGAAAATAAAACCCGGTTAAAGTCCAACGCACACTGTGAAAGAAATACTGAGTTACCAGCTTCAGGCATCTTCCTGCTCAGCTCTTAGCTGTCTACCTGTGCGTTCCAGGGGACGTTGATACTAAACACAGTAATGAGTATTTGCTATCTACCGATAAACCATGTGGAATGGCATGATAACAACGTTACCTCAACTTGAACGATGTAGAGCCTACACGTTCTGTAAATGGCAAGTTACTCCAATTTTTACGATTTGCGTCATAATTAACTTAGTTTAACAAAAAGCATTTGTTTTTTACACTTGCCAATTACATAATTACTATTGAATAAATTTACAATATTAAGTAGGATGAAATTTGTTCTCATTGGTTAAAGAACCCTGCAAAGCAACCGAAAGTGCTGCCAAATTGGTTAATCTATACACACTTTTTCTTTCAATTATACACTTAATGGCATCGTGATACCAGACGAAAAACGTTGCATATGTACATTTTGAATAGACAGCGTGGTCTTATGGTTTTGGAATCATTACCTTAGCATTAAGTACTAATATGGCTCTCTCGTAGTAGACCTGCCGTTGGGATCAACCAGATATGCTTAATTTTTGATACCATTAAGATATTTAAGAAGGGCGACATGTGCATAAGCTTAAGCCTTTAAGATATGAACTAATAATATAACAGCATTTCGTTTTCTGCATCTTCCGTGTACATGACATGAAGCTGCAGTGACTCGGCTATGTACTTTTTGCTAGTATGCAGAGTAAAACAATTTATACCACAGCATCACATTTGAAGCTCCTTATCGTAATTTTCCCAAATGTGATTAGTGACACTGTAATGTCTAATACACTTCCTTTTACATTACAGGTAACGAGATTAAATCATTGTGCCTGGCTGTAATACACACTCCCTGAACGATAAGTCTATTAAACCTGTCGATATGGACATCCCTGTGGTTGGTATTATATTGGAATGCAAACCAGTGCAAGACGTTTGGCAAAAATTGACATGAAGTTTTCCCCCTTGGAGATGATATTTCATGTATCTATGAAATTACATTTTTTATTTGTTTTTGTGTATATATGCCATTTATTCTTTAACTATCACACCAGGTGCATCTTATGTAAAATGTACAGCTCGGCATTTCGTAATTAATTTCAAAAGCAAAACTAGCAATAAAAATCTGTCCGCATGCCCCTTATAGGCCTACTCGTACATTAACACTACACTATTTAAACCTGCCACCCGTTGACACATGAGCATATTTGACCTTCGTATGATCAAATATTGACATCTACAGGGGTATATGTACATGTACGTGGAAGAATGAAGCCAAAATATCACCATGTATAAAGCGCTCCAAAACCTGTAACGTGATTTAAAACCCAACATTCTCGAGGGTGCAACAATCATTTTTAACAACAACGTGCAATGGTTCTTTATTCTGTTGATGCGCTTGTTTCTCTCTGTTGTTCCTGTTTCACTCAAGTTCCGTCGTTTTTTCTTTTTTTTTTCATATAAACACAGTATGACGACCCAAGTATGGTTAAGGCATTCGCACAAGCCTATTCAAATCACATCAAGAAATATCAAGTTATCTTTATCGAAAACTGATTGCAATCAATTCAAAATCATTGGCTTAACCATGCATATGCTGTGATTTGGGCTTCTCTGCGGGCGCGAAAGCTGTTTTAACTTAAAAGTTATCTATACCGAGCTCCCACTTCTCCCTGGAAAATGTTACCTGGGAACTCTTGAGAAGCTATAATGAGCACGTTTGAGACAAGCCGCAAAATATTAATTTCCTTCTCTCATTATTTATTTAATATCAGTGAGCCCCGTAAAAATTACATGGTTTCCCGCAGGCCTGCACTGTACCTGCAACACATGTTGCGAAACCGCCAATTAAGATTTGAAATAGTAGCTAACATTTACCTCGAAGAGACGTTTATTTAGCAGACCTCTCATATAATCTAATACTATAAAGCCTTTACGTTACAAGAACAATGCATTTAGGATTTTATGCACCTTGCGTTTCTGAGTCTATTTATTGGACACGACGCTTTTAAAAACGGCGCACTGATACATGTAGCAGCGAAGCATATGGATTCCAGTATTTTTACCACACTTGGGATACTTTGATGTACTCGGGAATAAACCTGATTAATCAGTAGTATGTAATCACATATCAGAGACAGCTTGGTACAAAAAGATTGCTCCCCCTCCTTTTACAGGGAAAATAACAGATCCAGGCCTTATCTGGCCTTTCCCAAAGAGTTATGTAAAAACTTGAGACAAAGACAAACGAATTTCGTGTCCTCAGGACTTCAAAATGCGGTAGCGCAGATTAAATTCCATTTCATGTAATGATTTGCCCCAATGCCTTCAACTAAATTACTTCAATTATTAGACTTCAAGTACGGCCGTGTAGAGTTTGGAGTGTAAGTAGCAGCCCTTTGTTTGTTAGCTCCGTATCTTTCACGAACTCTCGCATCGCCACGGTTTCTAACGCAGCCGCTACACCCCACAGCCCTGACGTAGCCCAGGCTTGACGGTCACATTCCGTCTCACTGTTGGAAGTTGTGCTGGATTTGTATGTGCATCTTTCTTCCACTACCTTGAAAAAGAAAAAAAGTTGAAATAATTGCACTTTCTTCCACCATCTGATAGGTTAATAACCGCGAACGCAGAATAGAATAAATGCGCAAAATCGATATAGCACGAAAAAGGGAGCATATAAGCGGCCTGAAAGATGAAGTTGTAGGATACAGCTAAAGACGAATTATCTGCGCAGGTTACAATTCTCAGCGGCAAAAGTGTATAGTCAACATGTATCTCGTTACAAGCTCTCGTTAATATCAGCAAGTGCACAGAAGTGCGTATCACGCAAGTTTTGAGCTGAGTTACATTAAGACTTTTTTTTTTCATTTTTTTCTTCCAATGTTTCAGATTACAGTGAGAACAAAAACAGGGCAATGAAGCAGCTGTTATCAAAGTATACGACTGTGGAAAAACAATTCCCACGGGAAATTAAAAGCTGGCGTCCTTGTCAATGCTGTTTACTCGATCATATCGTGTATTTTGGAAGAGTCAGTCAGTTATTGCCATAGGGATTAGTGCAGAAGGTAAATGCTTTTTAAAACAACTAAGGCAATTCTTTTTTTTATCAAAATATGAGTATGACCAAAGATAACAGGTAGAATTCAATTGAATTCCCTAAAAGTGACACGCGTTTGGATACAGCGTTTTTTATGGCTGGAAAACATCATACCGACATTGGGAAGTAAGGGAAAAGCGATCAAAGTCCGTCATGATGTAGAATTACGCACCCATTAATCGCCCACTTTACTTTTTTCGATATTTCACCATGTTCTTTACGTCTTTGGAGTACAGGTAGCGACACCTATACTTTTGTGTACAAATCTGTGCAAGCTTGATTGTGTAAGAGGCCAAAGAGATTGCGTTTTTCTGAAACAAACTTGAAGCTCTTTTTGCATGACACGTGGCGGGCATGGGTTGACTCGTACATACCACTGCCGTCTGCGTTATATTCCTAACATACGTCACAAACGTTCTGTTCTCCACGTCTACGATGGATTCTTCTATAACGCACGTCCTGGTAGCTCCCCGCAACAGCGTTTCCACCCATTTGGGGAAGTTTGCGAACGATTTCACGAGGATTCTTTTCGTGTAAAGCTTGCCATCTTGGATGTTACGCTCCAGGACATCTTCCACAACAACCTGAGGGCTGACATAACGTGCAATATGTTACGTTTCTGTCAAAAATACGAAAATTAATTGCTGTGGGTTGTATAGGAGTTTATTTACTTGGAAAACTACTGCATATCATGTAGAACTTGCTTCATTTAAGTTTTAATTTATATGTATTTTAAACTCTATAACTTCTACAGGTCAAACTGGCGGACTGTAAATTGGAGAAAAATAAAAACGAGAGAGAGAGAGAGAGAGAGAGAGAGAGAGAGAGAGGACAAAATTGAAAGGGCCATCGACTAATACTCTGGTAAATGACAAATATGCCTTGATGTTACCTCTAACATTAAGTCTGTCTTAGATTCTCTTGACTTATACTTACTTGTAGGGGTTTGGAAACATCTTCCAGAAGGCCTTGATGAAATCTTCCCAGGCATAAGGAAATGTCGCTGTCAAAGACGTGTATTTCATTGTCGATGTATAACTGTTTTCTCAATCCATGTTTGACTAAGAAAAGATGGTCCTTTTTCACTAAAATGGTAATTTCAATGAAGGGTTAAATCATATATTATCACCAAGAGGGAGTTGATGGATTAATCCTACCCGCTTCATGTTATTTTGGTCATCTGAATTACTAGGAGGGAGGGTTATTTGAAAGGAATAAATAGGCTCCTCAGTCTGACTATATTTTTAAAATCCAATTTTACCGTTTATTTTATCAGATTGATTTAACAATAATGATAATTATTTCAAACGCAACTGGATGCCGTCAAAGTGCGTGTGTGTATCTGTGTGCACGTGTTTGAACCAGTAGGCGTGCACATAGGTGTGTGTTTGCTTATTTGTGTGTGTGTGTGTGTGTTTGTGTGTGTGTGTGTGTGTGTGTGTGTGTGTGTGTTTGAGTAAGTGGGAGTGTGCCACTGATAACTCCAGTAGGGGAATGATTGACCTTCTATACGCCTCTCTATATTAATAACATGTAGATCGGTGATAATTTACAGGGTCACGGTGCGTTGAGCAACAGTCGTGTCAATCTGACAAAATGATGCTCAGCCTGGCATTTTTTTCCTTCTTGTGCTTACGTATTACGGTTTTATCAACCAGTACTAGTTGCCATATTTATCCATTCCAAGTAATTGAGAAGTTAAAATGATCAAATGGTATGTTTTAACTTTGCCTGTGTTATGGTCACTCATAATGTCGTAACAGAGTCCCATCTCACCCCAGTGGGCAAATTATGTTGTTTTAACGTTGAAACAATGTTGAACCAACGTTGAGAAGACATTGGATCAACATTGGATTTGAAAGTTGTGTCAACCTCAGATAACAACTTTGTATCAACCCCACCCAGCGGGAAATTCTAACGTACACAATTATAACGTACACTGGAAAAACATCCAAGTGCCTGCTTTGTCTGCTTTTTTCAACGCTCCTAGGCATGTTTTGCACCTGAGCATGGTACACCCTTTTAGCCTGGATGTGTTTAGCAGTAGGACATGTTTGATGGCTAAATGTAGGGTATAAATGTATGGCCTTTAAGTTAAATTTTCCAAGGTTTAGATTAATATATACAGTTATTTTCTTATATATATATATATATATAAAGAAGATAACTGGGTCAGTTATATAACAGTCACAGTCAACTCAACCTGTCTATTTATAACAGGTTGCCAAGAACTGCCAACTTTATAAACTTCACTCCACACTTACAACAACTTATTCATCCTAGTTTTAGCAGACCTTGCAAGGAATTCAGTTTATTGGAATGTTTTTCTGAATAACAAGTTTAGAAAAATTACTAGTTCACTAAAGACACAAAACAAACAACTGTCACTTTTACTTTAAAACCTTTTTGATATCATTTTGTTTAATTTAGTTTCAGTATTGATAAACAAAGTATCACGTTTTCAATAATTAATATTTTAAATTACAATCCATAACTGCAAGGTTATGTCAAAGACTAAAATACAACGTTGAGTCAACGTCACATTATGACGGTGTTTTGACGTGGCTGGATCAACGTTGATTTTACGTTGAATTTAGGTAGATCAACGGCAATTCAACGTATCAACCTGTTTTCAACGTTGATCCAACGCAACTATGCCTGCTGGGACGTTGATGATAATGATGGCTCTGACCCAGTTATCGGCGTTATTACGGGGAATAATGATGATGGTGACTTTGACCCAGCTATTGTCGTTATACGGGGAATAACAGGAGCTACCAATATTACGAAATTACTCTTCTGTCAGATGGTATCTTGCAATTTAACTTAATTATCTGTTGAAAACTGGAGTGGTCTTCAATGGCATGTAAAAGTCGACTAATTTAGACCTATTACTTACAGCTAGGCCCAAGTCAGACATGGGTCAAAGAAGATGCCTGAACGCACCCTTAATTATACAGGTACCAGCATAGCCCAGGATATAGGCGACACAATGGTTCACAGATTATTCACTACTGGCGGTCTTTGCTGCAAAACTAAGCAGGCACAGGAGTCCTGGCTGGTGCTTTAAGAATACTGCTATATGATATACTGTTAAAAAGCAAAATTAGTAGATATGATGTTACCCCCTCCCGACTAACCTTAACCAAGGTTCAAACAAATCAATAAATGTTTACGTACGCATCGGCTATCTGCATCAGCAAGCCGCCTTGTTCTCCCAGCTGCTTTAACTGTTCTGCTTTATTACCGACAACTTAGTAGGGCTGCATAGATCACTATTAAAGCCCATTCCGAAGTTTAGTAGGTCAAAGCACTTTAAAAGTACACGCGTCCCATTTAGCTAAGGGATTCACGTACGCAAATGGCAGACTGAATGCAAAACAACGCTGATAACTTATCCTACCGGTCGCAGTTCATGATTGGATACATTGGATCCTAAACTGCAGATAATAATAATAATAATAATAATAATAATAATAACAATAATAACAAATGAATAAATAATTGAAATTGCTCATAGATGAAGAGTTCACAAATATAATCTCCAGACGTTTTAATTAATTTTATAGAGTCGATTGCTTGTGCACTCGACTACTTTATGACCTTACCTGTAATTATGTTACTTAAGTGGACGTGTGCAATTTGAATAATTAAAATTCGTATGTACCGCCAAATAATGCAGCACCGAATCCACCTATAGATAAGAAATATGGTATAAAAGACGTCTAGAATTAAGATCGGGAGTTCAGACTGAAGAAGACTCGAAGGTGACCGTTCGACAGAGCCATGGAAGACGGCTTAGAAGTTGGAGATTTCACGTAGATGATGTAGTTAGGCAGCGTCAACTAATAAACCATTAAACTGGTCATTATGTGGACTTGGGTTTTCTTTGCGCGACCTTACGTAAATCTGACACGAACCGGAGAATCTTTGGATCGCGTTATCCACTAAGTAAGTCTAAAACGTAATGTCCTATTTCGAGCCCACGCTTGAATTAAGCGTTCTATATTATGTAAGTTTAGGACATTCATCTCATATGTATATGTCGAGGTACATTACATAGAGCAAAGACTTGGTACATTACATAGAGCAAAATTACATATTACATAGCATAAATAAATGCATCCATCATACATATAAATATATTGCGAAAACAAAAGGACGCTATATTGTTGAGCTTAAGCTTTGATGACCCGATATTTGTGTATTGCAGTGGATAAAAACACAAGAATATAAAAAAATGGTGGTTAACTCTTTATTCCCGACACTCAGACAGACACTGTACATGCATACAATGAGAATAAAATTGGAGTCATTTGACTCTCTAGTCAGAGTCCAGCACCCCTTGACCCTCATGGAGTTAATTTGACTCCTATATAAGGGTCAAATACCCCACTACCAGACTCTCTTATCAGAGTCAATCACCCCATGGCTCTCATGGAGTCAATCTGACTCTAAAATCAGAGTCAAATTACCGGGGGACCAGTGTCTGGCTGACCCCTTTCACCGGCTCTTTTCGGTCGCTGGACAGTGAGCCTCGTTTCATTACTTGTGATGACAGTGAACAGACGGCGCGGAGAGAACAGTTTTCATCATCCTTTGTCAGTATAAACATTACTTTATTGGCCATAGTTGGTTTTATGCATTTAAAAGTGGTTTTCTGTGTGTTTCTGCATGCAAAACTCGTGCACTTATTACTGGCCCGGGCTTTCGGTTGCCACACCCTTTATGTGATGTGTTGGTATACAGTTCAGCAGGTTTTGTTTCCAGGTTGTAGGTTTGACCCACCAATGCATGATATGGCATGCTGTTTATTACCAGATTTACAAACTGTTTATTATGTCGGTTTCCACACCAGATGGCCTAGTGGTTAGAGTGTCCGCCTCCGTAGCGGGAGGACGTGGGTTTGAATCCGTCCGGCGACATACCAATCTCTAATATACGATACATGTACCTGCTGTCTCCCCGCTTGCCTCTGTTATTGCTGTTCTTTTGTTAATAATGTGCCAAGGTGTCAAAAATTCCTTATTATGTGGTTATGATGACTCTTTTATAGAGATAAATGAAGGGATGAAGGGATGTGTGAATGGAGTCAATTGTGACCCTCCTGTGGGGTATGGGATGGCGTTACCCCATCGGAGTCAACTTGACTCCAATTGGGATTTATTTTAGGCACCACTGCTGGACTCCAAGTTTGGAGTCACTTGCAATCCGATTTTATTCTCAGTGTAAGCCAACCATCTCAACAGATAATATGAAGAACCAGAGTAAAGGAATATATAGTGTCCTACTGACATCGCAGCTGGCTCATTTCTGACCGTGAGTAACCCCCGTTACCCCTGGGTGATTGTAAGATTATAAACACAATCATTTGTTACACCAAGAAATTACTTACGGACTACTGTCAACAGTTTGATAACAGGTGTAAACAACATATAGTTTACAGTTCATTCACTCGTGTAATAAATACATGAATACGGTTATATATAAGGGAAGGGCAGCTTTCGAACTGTACATAACATAATATATAAATTTACTAGATGGTGTCACTGGGTAGCATCGCATATCCCCTCCCCGCACTTTCTAAATATACTACGAAATCATATTCTGGTAGCTCACCCTAAAGGCATATTTGTCTGTCTATAGTGGATTATCATGTCAAACCACCCAACCCCCAGGTACAGCCCAAACCCATGGCCCCCATGCAGATCTGTGAAGCTCTACCAATGTCCAAAGTTTGAAGTCTCTCACTGTAATGGTCTAGGAGAAGAAAGCAGTAAATGTAAAAAAATAGAATGATTCAACACCCAGTTGTACTGAAATTGCGAAGTGCTCATGCACATCCTCAATAGGTCTACCAATTAGTCTGAGCCTTAATTCTCACTCTAATGGTCTAGGATGACAAAGCAGTAAATGTAAAAAATATTTTAGAGTAATCCACCCACCCTCCAAGGGACACATTCAACAACCTCCAAAAAATAGTACCTCCATCGCAGTGAAAAAAAAAAACGCACAAACAAAATCACAAACGAGCAGACTAATAGACTTAAGAATTTTCTTCGCAAATAATGCATATGCATTAGTCCCGGTTGCTCTGTTGTTCTGTTGATGACAAGTCAGATAATTTTGGACTAAAAAAACAGTGAAATTACCGATAACAGTAAACACCAGTGTCATGCACACTAATAGGCTAGCTGCGAGGGTCCCGTTGGGGGTGGGGGTTGTAGTGATCACAGTTGACGGGAAACAAAATAATCCAATCACAAATTACAATATATCAAACTTTATCTCATTGAAAATGTGATTCGGGCGTGTTGAAAATCACGAACCAGCAAGTATAACGACTTCGTTTTACGAAGGACAAGGAGTAAAAATACTGCATTCACGAGTCACCAGAATTGGGTGCTTCACGGATCACGCTAAAAAAATATGAATGTTTCACGCACCTCAGGAAATAAAAAGTGGCTCTCATGGGCAACGAAAATACCTGATGGGACCCCTTCCTGTTTAAACTGACCAGCGACTGGTTAAAATCGAGACATCGACTAGGAACGTAAAACTTATAATTGACTAATCAACTTTACAACATATTGGACTTGTTTTCGAACTAGATAAAGATGTACCACGGATGGTTAATCGTACTTCTGTCATCTATACTGTTTCTTGCCTACAATGGCGTCAAAATGAGCTGGGGCGTTTTTGTTGCCACTTTTACCAAAGACCCGCTGTTGGGATCCTCGTCTCAAGCAACCCTAGGTAAGTCATCTTTAAGGCAATGAAATATTAGGCCAGGCCAAATTGATAACTTGGTTAAAGAGCAGTAACTCTTAGTCTTAGTAAACAGGTAGGTAGACATTTTTTCAAAAAAAGTTTTCTCAATGAAGGCCACAGTGGGGGTTAGTTAAGAGCATAAAAACCATAACATTAAGGTTTTTCCTGGCGTCAAGTGCATTACTTTTCCACTGACCAAACCAATGCCCAATGCATATTTTCACTTCATATTTTCAAATTTTCTGATTTTTGCAAAAAAAAAAAAAAAACTAAGGTCACGCTGAAGCACACATGACATTTTGGGGGGGAGGGGGAAGTTACGAAAGGTGAATGTACATACTTAAATGTTGTCTATAAGACGATCACTTCAAGCTGAACATGTACATGCAGCAGTACTGTAGGTATCGCATCATGCTATTCTAAAACTTGTCAGAAATTTGGCGGACCAGTTCCTGACTTTGCTGCCCTAGCTACTCATAACTACTTTGATTAACGTGAAATAAACTGCATATCACTTTCTTATACAGTGACTAAGACCCCATTCCCAGAGATTAGATCGATCTAACTCCCTGGGGTTCACGCTAAATAGCTGTCAGCCGAGCGGGCACGAAAGTTAATTACCCCCTTACAGCTTGTAGTAGGCGGGGCGGACATTTAAGCCGGATTATCTGACAGTAATCTAGTGAGACTCCCCACGGGGATAGATCGATCTAAAATCTATGGGAATGCGCCCATGAGAAATCAACTCGTCATGTGCAATAACGCTATTTATTGAATTCTGATTGACATTTGCAGAATCTTAAGCAGAATGTGGCGGTTTTTCTTTTGCTGTTAACTATTTTCATTCGGTATATCACTAATAATCTGGATTTAACGTCAAATAAGACCATCAAATCACTATTCTCAGTAAATAAGATCATTGAAAAGGTGAGTCCAGAGAGTTGAAAACCACGAATCACTGACTATAGTCTAGATTACATTTACAGGGGCGCCGTGTGATGAAATTGTCCGTAAGATTTTTTTAAATCGTAAGGAGCTACGGGCTACGCCGAGTATGTCTACATGTACATTACATAATCTTAAATCAGAATAAGATTCCGTGCGATAACTCACGGCCACCGTCTACCTTCGCTCAGACGCCGTACGAAAATGGTATTAGGGGCAGTATACGTGCACCGTACGGGCATCGCATTTCAAATGTAATCTAGGCTTATAATGACTTCGTTTCACAACTGACGAGGAATAAAAAGGTGCATTCACGAGCCACGGGAATGGGGTGCTTCACTGATCATGCTAAAAAAATTCAACGTCTAATGAACCTCAGAAAATGAAAAGTGGCCTTAACGGGCGACGATATTATCCAATGGGACCCTCTGCTACGATTTTTGTTGAAGGGGTCCGAGAGAATTGATCCTATCATAAATTGAGACCGGAAGGATGGGTGACACCAAACTTTATCGGTGTGAAGGGTAGTAATTATACACGAATGTGCCATCAC